TTAGTGAAAATATATATATATATATAAATATATATATAAAATATATATATATATATTTTCAGATAAAATTACTACAAAATATATAGTCGATTTTTATACTTTTATACATGATGATGTTTTGTCTTTGTTTGGGGGTCCTCTCTTTGTCCATAACTGGGAACCTGCTCGGTGCGACCACCCAGGGTCAGGGTGCACCCGGGGACAACAGCAATTAAGAGGTGATTCCACGCTCCTCCAAACCTTCAATCTCCTAATCAGGAGACTTATTGCCGGTTGTTGTTTATCATCACACCCAGGACATTCACCAGTGAGTTGTCTAATCAGGAGACGCTAACTCCAGTGAATATCGATTGGTGGTCGCCTAAATACCAATATGGGACTCAAATACTGGCGGTATAACTAGAGCGGTAATGACACGGTCTCACTGGGATGAGGGCTCCTTCGACTAATGTCAACAGCCAGAAGGTCCCTCCGATCGAACCATTGAATCAACTATTAGTTAATGTCATTTATCTATATATTTAAAATTCTGTAACTTCTGTCAGTTAGTCCGTCTCTTTGTCCTATTCTCTAAAATAGCCATATTTTGATCCATCCACAGCAAATTATGGAGAGAAGTGCAAACAGGTAAGGGGATATAAATTGCAGTTGGTTTTTATTAGGATGCGTATCTTAGTACAATAAATTTTCGTTAATTTTAGGGAAAAAATTAAAAGTTTTATTATTTAACATACAAAATGCAGCCATTATTAAAAATAATTCAATGATTAAAATAACAAATATTTAATTAAAAAAAAGCAATATTGCGTTTGCATATCTTTTCTTTAGGTTTTTATATATACAAGACTCCAGTTTCCAGTTCGCCTTGAGTTTGCAAGAATTATAACCAAATCACAAGGCCAACCGCTTAAAAAATTAGAATTTGGTTTCAGAAAAAAGTATTTACACAGGGCCAGTTGTATGTTGCATGCTCAAGAGTAAGAAGTCATAGAATGAATTATTCGCTGTTAAAAAGGAAAAATTCTTTAAAAAAATCTTGTTTACCATGAGGTCCTGTAAAATTAAATTAAAGAAATTGCTAAACTGCGAAGTAGGTTTTTTGTTAAAGTATTTTTCCAAACAAATGACCTTATTCAAATTTCATCGATTGGTTTGTGAAATTGAACGAACCAGAGTTTGTAAACCTCGATAAAAATGTTAGCGATAACTTCAACAATACAAAATACTGTGATGGTTTCCATGCGAATCAGCGTGTTGCAAAAATTCTACTACTATAAAAAGAGCAATACATTTTTACGTGCAGTCCTTTACCAGGAAAAATTCATTTTCTTATTTTTTTAGATTTTTCCCTAAGACTCATGAACGTGCCCTACATATAATGGATTACTGATTGCACAAGATTTATAGAACTGCAATATTAGCTCTTCTTGCTACTGTAATGCGAGCAACAACCTGTTTGGGTTTATTGTCATTCACAGTAGCAGCTGGCCTGCCACTGCGGGGCCTGTCACTAAGGTCAGTTTCTTCTTTCTCTCTAGAATTCTCGTGATTGTACTAAGTTAAAGTTCAGCCACTGCGTAAACATTCACTTGCAGTATTTGTCAAAGAAAATACTGTTACGTTTTGCATAAACCCCGTAAACTATGCAACGTGAAAATCTAAACATAACTATTAAAAAACAAACAAAAAACAAATCATTACTATTTTGTTTGTATTTCTAATTATTTCCTAACTATAGGCGAGGGTGTCTTTTCAGCCCTTCGAGCGCTTATCGAATTATTTCATTCTCACAAACCTTCGCGTCCCTGATTTTCGAAAATCGATTATTTTTCAGTTGCTCAACGCAAATTAGCTGATGAATATTATCAAATTTCGACGGCTGGCAATTGCATTGATAATAATCGATGACCAAGAAGAGGCGTTATTGATTTTTATTGGCTGCTCTAAAAGTAGAAAAAAAAAAGAAAAGAAAAAATCACTGAAAACAAAACCTACCAGTCCCGCTTGCCGACTTACTGATTTAGCTTAAGTAGTAGAGAAAAGGGCCAAGACGTGGAGGTTCAAATGGAGTCTTTTCGATAGTAATTGCAATGATAATATTAGCCTTAATACTTTGTTTAGTTTCTGGAAGGCTTCTTTCGAAATTTTCATGCATCTTCAGATCTCTACGCTACTCTTTCCGTCTTTTACGATACTGTCTAAGTAAATGATTTTTCTATACCTGCTTGATTTTGAGGTCACTAATTCGGGGCTCATACAACAGGCAGTCTTTCTTGTTGAAGAGTACGCGTTCTCTTTTTTATGATAACGCTAATTGAATGGTTAATATTAGACGATTCTTTATAAGGAAACATTCGGTAGTCATGGACCGAGCAGCCAGTGCTGCTGTTGTTTGAATTCTAGACAATCTTCCTATTAAAACAATCTTTCAAAAGATCCAGTAACTGTTTTCGCTCTTTCGACTGGTGATGGCAACTTCCTTCTTAAAATTTTTAGACACATAACGAGGAAGAAAGGGTTGGAAAACTTAATACTCCTAGGGCATATTGAGGCCAAGAGAGATGGGGAGGGGAAGGTAGCGGGTCATTTACCTGACAAGCTTGTGTGAATGGATGTTGGAACGGAAACGCTAACATAGAAAAAATGCTAAGGATAACAAGGGGTAGGAAGTTATGGAGAGCCGCGATCCCCTATGCCTTGAAGAAACCATTAAAAAAGAAAAATGATTATATATAGAGTAATACTGCATATGATTAAATGTCATTAATTTCTATTCGCGTTCCATGTGCTATGCATTTTAGGTGTTGCATTTGTTGAAAGTCCTCAAGTGATACCGTTTCCTTTATTTCACAAAGTTCTTATTTGCACCAGAGTTTCGAAGAAGGATGGTCCTTGCTAAGACCTACTGGCTTCATTTGTCCGATTCTATTTTAATAATAGATCTGAGAAAGCAGTTGTGTACATCTAAAAGTTTAGATATTTGTGAACGAGTTGAGCGCCATGCAGGACATCGATATACCGCGTGTAACAGCAAAATTGTCCTAATCCTGTAACAGCAAAATTGCCCAATTGTTAGATTTGAACCGTTGTATCTTAGAAATGATTAAAGATATCTTACTGGAATTCTCCAATGTTTTCTCTTATAGCACTATTGGACTCTACTTTGAGCAATAAGAATGTATAATTACTCTCCAAGCTTAACAGAAGAATCGTGATGAAATCTATCATAAACGAAAATGATATGTTCATCATTAATTAATCATAGCTAAAGATTGTAAGCTCATGAAGGATTGAAATACATTTCAAATATATATATATATATATATATATATATATATATATATATATATATATATATATTCATTCAGATCATTTTCTAACTTATTCAAGATGATCTTCGCTCTCTAACCTTCTAACTTTCTGTCCTGGAGTAACAAGATGCCCCACACGCTTCACGTACGATTTCATTTTCAAAACTTTTTTCACTGCTATTTGGATTGTCATAGGGGAAACTTCTCTTTCACGTGCCAAACGTTTTATGGACTGAGTTGGATCTTTTCTAATTGATCACTTTATCTCTAAGTTGAAATGATGATCCCTCTTCCTGTTGTGACCCCCCACCCGATCCAATTTTCCTCGCTATTGTTCACTCTTTTTAAAAATTATTCATCGTTCTCTTGATGGTTCTTGAATGAACTTTGAAGGTGGAAGCCTTTACTGAAATCCTGAATGATTTTTTTTGCCTCCCACCAGTTGGGAAGTCTGTGGGTCTGATACAAAATTTTAATCCGTTCTCTTTGTATTTGAATAACCCAAATATTTTTTCAATGATTCCTACGACAAATGGTGTCAAGATGGCTAAATGTCTTATGTGAAAAACTAGTAAAATGAAACTCAATTAGTTTAGTGTTTTTTTTTTTTTTTATTAGATGGATAATTATCCTATTACAAGTTTTGGACAATTTTGCTGTTACACTCGGTATATGAAAATCTCGATCTGACGACGCTATCTAAGAACATGACTCGATTTCTTAGGTTAAAGTTTTCGTTTTGTAGCAACTTGTGGTGTTGTGTGAAACTACCTTCTTGTTTCTTTTATTTGGTACAGTTTTTGTTTGCGATTCCGTAGCGCTAGTCCACGCGTTTTGAAGAAGGATGGCCCTGGCTAAGAAGCATTGTCTATATTCGTGCGATGCCTTTTTTAGCCATAAATATGAAAACTAGTTTATCGTCTTACCCAGGACGCGGATGTAGTTCATCGTCTTGCCCAGGACGTGGATGTAGTTTATCGTCTTGCCCAGGACGTGGATGTAGTTTATCGTCTTGCCCAGGACGTGGATGTAGTTTATCGTCTTACCCAAGATGCGGATGTAGTTTATCGTCTTACCCAGGATGGGAGAAGTAAAGATAAGGACCCACAGATAAGAAGAGAGAAAGAGAGTGAGAGAAGAAGAGGAAGAAGGAAAGTAGAGGGGAATAGAGAGCAAGAAATGTGAGGGAAGAAGAAAGAAGAAAAGAGATGCAGTTGGTGTGAGAGAGAGAGAGAGAGAGAGAGAGAAGGAGGGAAGAGGAGAATGATCGAAATAGAGAGCCATTAATGGGAGACGGAAGTAGAGAGAAGAAAAAGGAAGTATTGAGAGAGAGAGAGAGAGATAGAGAGAGAGATAGTGGGTGAGAAAAAGAGAGAGAAGTCGGCAAGCGAAATAGATAAAGAACAAGATAGAGAGACAAAAGAAAGAAAGAACAATGAGATAAGGAGAAGTAGCGAGGGAAAGGATGAGGGAAGGAAAAAAAGAGGAGGAGAGAAAGGCGAAGAAAGACGGTAATAGATAAAGAGAGTAAGCAAAGGAAAGAAAGGTGGTATCAAAAAAATGGACGAAAATGAAATACGTGGAGGGGTGTGTGTGTGTGAGAGAGAGAGAGAGAGAGAGAGAGAGAGAGAGAGAGAGAGATGAAGAAAAAGAGAGAAGAAAAATCGAGATGGAGGGAGAGAAATATATTTATAGAAAGAAAAAGAGAAGGGATAAGAATAAAGAGAGAAAGGGGGAAGAAGCAGGGGAATAAAGAAAGAAGAGGAGGGCAAGCGAACGGGAGAAATAGAAACATGGTATCAAACAAGGAGAGTCGACGAAGGGAAGAAAGCTAGACGTTGTGAGAGAATAGAAGAAAACAAAGTAGGTGAAGGAGAACAAGAGCGGGAGAGAGAGAGAGAGAGAAAAGAAAAGAGATGAGATAGAGAGAGAGAGAGAGAAAAAGAAAAGAGAAGCAGATAGAGAGAGAGAGAAAAAAAAGAAAAGAAAGAGAAGAGAGAGAGAGAGAAAAGAAAAAGAGAGAGAGAGAGAAAGAAAAAAAAAAAGAGAAGCAGAGAGAGAGAGAGAGAGAGAGAGAAAAGAAAAAGAAAAGAGAGAGAGAGAGAGAGAGAAAGAGAAGCAGATAGAGAGAGAGAGAGAAAAAAAAGAGAAGGATAGAGAGAGAGAAAAAAAAGAGAAGCAGATAAAGAGAAAGAGAGAGAGAGAGAGAGAGAGAGAGAGAGAAAAGAAAAGAGAAAGAAAGAAAGAAAAGGTGGTAAAAAATGGACGAAAAATACGAAAAAGAGAAGAGAGAGAGAGAGAGAGAGAAGAAAAGAGAAGAAGAGAGAGAGAGAGAGAGAAAGAGAAGCAAAAGAGAAAAGAGAGAGAGAGAGAGAGAGAGAGAGAGAAAAGAAAAGAGAGTAAAAAGGAAAGAAAGATCAAAAAATGGACGAAAATGAAAATACGTGGAGGGTGTGTGTGTGATGAGAGAGAGAGAGAGAGAAAGAGAAAAGAGAATGAAGAAAAAGAGAAAAAATCGAGATGGAGGGAGAGAATATATTTATAGAGAAAAGAGAGGAGAATAAAGAAGAAAAGGGGGAAGAAGCAGATAATAAAGAAAAAGAGAAGAAAAGAGAAATAGAAACATGGTATCAAACAGAGAGACGAAGGAAGAAAGAGAAAAGAAAAAAACAAAGAGAAGGAGAAGAGAGAGAGAGAGAGAGAGAGAGAGAAAAGAAAAGAGAAGCAGATAGAGAGAGAGAGAAAAAGAAAAAAGAGAAGCAGATAGAGAGAGAGAGAGAAAGAAAAAGAAAAGCAGATAGAGAGAGAGAGAGAAGAAGAGAGAGAGAGAGAGAGAGAGAAAAAAGAAAAGAGAAGCAGATAGAGAGAGAGAGAGAGAAAAGAAAAGAGAAAGAGATAGAGAGAGAGAGAGAGAAAAGAAAAGAGAAGAGATAGAGAGAGAGAGAGAGAGAGAAAAAGAGAAGAGAGAAGAGAGAGAGAGAGAGAGAAAAGAGAAAAGAAGCAGATAGAGAGAGAGAGAGAGAAAAAAAGAGAAAGATAGAGAGAGAGAGAGAGAAAAGAGAGAGAGAGAGAGAGAAAAAGAGAAAAGAGAAGCAGATAGAGAGAGAGAGAAAAGAAAAAGAGAAGAGAGAAAAGAAGAGAGAGAGAGAGAGAAAGAAAAAGAGAAGCAGATAGAGAGAGAGAGAGAAAAGAAAAAGAGAAGCAGATAGAGAGAGAGAGAGAGAGAAAAGAGAAGCAGAAGAGAGAGAGAGAGAGAGAGAGAGAAAAAGAAAAGAGAGCAGATAGAGAAAGAGAGAAGAAATGAAAAGAGAGAAGAAAAGAAAGAGAGAGAGAGAGAGAGAAAAGAAAAGAGAAGCAGATAGAGAGAGAGAGAGAAAAAGAAAAGAGAAGCAGATAGAGAGAGAGAGAAGAAGAAAAAGAGAAGCAGATAGAGAGAGAGAGAAAAGAAAAGAGAAGAGATATAGAGAGAGAGAGAGAAAAGAAAAAGAGAAGCAGATAGAGAGAGAGAGAAAAGAAAGAGAAAAAAAGAGAAGCAGAGAGAGAGAGAGAGAGAGAGAAAAGAAAAAGAGAAGCAGATAGAGAGAGAGAGAGAGAAAGAGAGAAAGAGAAAAGAGAAGAAAAGAGAAGCAGATAGAGAGAGAGAGAAAAGAAAAGAAAGAAGAGAGAGAGAGAAAAAAGAGAAGCAGAGAGAGAGAAAAAAAGAGAAGAGAAGAGAGAGAGAGAAAGAAAAGAAGAGAGAGAGAGAGAGAGAAGAGAAAAAAGAAAAAGAGAAGCAGATAGAGAGAGAGAGAAAAAAGAAAAGAGAAGTAGATAGAGAGAGAGAGAGAGAAAAGAAAAAGAGAAGCAGATAGAGAGAGAGAGAGAAAAAAAAGAGAAGCAGATAGAGAGAGAGAGAGAGAAAAGAAAAAGAGAAGCAGATATAGAGAGAGAGAGAGAAAAGAAAAAGAGAAGCAGATAGAGAGAGAGAGAGAGAGAGAGAAGAAAAAGAGAAGCAGATAGAGAGAGAGAGAGAAAAGAAAAAGAGAAGCAGATAGAGAGAGAGAGAGAGAGAGAGAGACTGATATTAATCGAAAGAAAGCGAGAGAATTAGAGAAGAAGAAGAAATAGAGAAAGGCCAAGGCAACACTGTAAGCAAAGTCATTACAGCGTTGATAAACATCAATTCCGGACTCAAGTGGAATTTTTAAATGCTTCCATCGACTCGTTTTACAATGATCAATCAATTCACTAGAAAGATCATTAAAAATATCGTAGTGGTCCCTAATTAGGGGCACTGACACAGGAGAGTATCCGATAGCAAGAAACAGCGAAAATCAACTTTGCTATCACCGATAAATAATATTGTGTTTGCCATTCTCGTTCATCCAGCGTAGTTGTGTCCAAGTGACTTTTAAATCGACATTAAAAAAAATGATTACTCCGTTTTCATTCATTTCCAGTATGAACGAAGTTAGGATCCCAGCTGTAGTGGCAGCTAGCGTGTGTGATGGCAGACGACAAGGTTAATTAGCAGGGAGGAGTAGCCGCCGCTTAAATAACGCAAAGGACAGGAATGCGCCGTTTCGATTCTAAAGGAAGAAAGGATAGTAAAATGATGAATCTGTCTCTTTTATTAGAAAAGTAAAAGAGACGTTGGTGATATCTTTCTTAAAGTTCGATAAATGAGACAGAATTTTGCGCGCCCGTTTTTACTTTCTTTCTTTCTTTCTTTCTTTCTTTCTTTCTTTCTTTCCAGTTCGATAAAAGAAAAATCTTTACAAACTTTTTTTTCTTTTTCATTTCAAAATCGATAAAAACGACGGAACTTCTCTCATTTTTTTCCGTTTCAGATCAATAAAAGGGATTGATCTTAGCACATGATTTCTTGTGTATTTTTATTTTCCCCAATTTTTTTCTTTCTTTCTTTCTTTCTTTCTTTCTTTCTTTCTTTCTTTCTTTCTTTCTTTCTTAACACATCAATAAAAGTGATCGATCTTCACATATGTTTTCATTCTGTGTCAGATTAATAAATGTGATATATTTTCACAGATTTTATTTGTTTGTTTTTCCTTTCTTTATTCTTTCCTCATCGTTAAAAGTGATAGATCTCCACACTCTCTCTTTCTTTCTTTTTTCTTTCTTTCTTTCTTTCTTTCTTTTCTTTCTTTTTTTCGCATCAGATCGATAAAAATGATAGCTTTTCTTACCTCGTTTTTTTTTTTTTCTTTTTTCTTTTCTTTCTTTCTTTTCTTTCTTTCTTACCAAATCGATAAATGTGATATACATTACCATTTTTCTTTCTTTTCTTTCTTTCTTTCTTTTTTTTCTTTCTTTTCTTACCAAATAGATAAACGCGATATTTTCGCTTTCTTTCTTTTCTTTCTTTCTTTCTTTCTTTCTTTCTTTCTTTCTTTTCTTACCAAATCGATAAAAAGCAATATATATTACCACTCATTCTTTCTTTCTTTCTTTCTTTCTTTCTTTCTTTCTTTCTTACCAAATCGATAAACGTAATATATATTACCACTCGCTTTCTTTCTTTCTTTCTTTCTTTCTTTCTTTCTTTCTTTCTTTCTTTCTTTCTTTCTTTCTTTCTTTCGCATCAGATCGATAAAAATGATAGCTTTTCTTACCCGTTTCCGTTTTTTTTCTTTTTTTTCTTTCTTTCTTTCTTTCTTTCTTTCTTTCTTTCTTACCAAATCGATAAACGTGATATACATTACCATTCTCTTTCTTTCTTTCTTTCTTTCTTTCTTTCTTTCTTTCTTACCAAATAGATAAACGCGATATATATTACCACTCGCTTTCTTTCTTTCTTTCTTTCTTTCTTTCTTTCTTTCTTTCTTTCTTTCTTTCTTTCTTACCAAATCGATAAAAGTAATATATATTACCACTCGCTTTCTTTCTTTCTTTCTTTCTTTCTTTCTTTCTTGCAAATAGATAAACGCGATATATATTACCACTCGCTTTCTTTCTTTTTCTTTTTTCTTTCTTTTTTCTTTCTTTCTTTTCTTTCTTACCAAATCGATAAAATGATACCACTCTTTTCTTTCTTTCTTTCTTTTCTTTCTTTCTTTTTTCTTTCTTTCTTTCTTTCTTTTCTTTCGCATCAGATCGATAAAAATGATTTTTCTTACCCGTTTCCGTTTTTTTTCTTTTTTTTCTTTCTTTCTTTCTTTCTTTCTTTCTTTCTTTCTTTCTTTCTTTCTTACCAAATCGATAAACGTGATATACATTACCATTCTCTTTCTTTCTTTCTTTCTTTCTTTCTTTCTTACCAAATAGATAAACGCGATATATATTACCACTCGCTTTCTTTCTTTCTTTCTTTCTTTCTTTCTTTCTTCTTTCTTTTCTTTCTTTCTTACCAAATCGATAAAAGCAATATATATTACCACTCGCTTTCTTTCTTTCTTTCTTTTCTTTCTTTCTTTCTTTCTTTCTTTCTTTCTTTCTTTCTTACCAAATAGATAAACGCGATATATATTACCACTCGCTTTCTTTCTTTCTTTCTTTCTTTCTTTCTTTTTTCTTTTTTTCTTTTTCTTTCTTACCAAATCGATAAACGTATATATATTACCACTCCTTTCTTTCTTTTCTTCTTTTCTTTTTTCTTACCAAATCGATAAAAGCAATATATATATTACCACTCGCTTTCTTTCTTTCTTTCTTTTCTTTCTTTCTTTCTTTTTTCTTTCTAAAATAGATAAACGTCCATGTTTCACTGATTTAGATAAACGTATATAGTACTGTTTCTTTTTCTTTCTTTCTTTTTCTTTCTTTCTTACTTTCTATTTACCACTCGCTTTCTTTCTTTCTTTCATTCTTTCTTTCTTTCTTTCTTTCTTACAAATCGATAAAAGCAATATATATTACCATTTCTTTCTTTCTTTCTTTTTTCTTTTCTTTCTTTCTTTCTTTCTTTCTTTCTTTTTTCTTACCAAATAGATAAACATGTATATATTACCATGAGTTTCTTTCTTTCTTTTCTTTTCTTTCTTTCTTTCTTTCTTACCAAATCGATAAACGTAATGATATTACCACTCCTTTTCTTTCTTTCTTTCTTTTTTCTTTCTTTCTTACCACATTCATAAAAGTGATACCTCTCTACACGTTTTCATTCTTTCTTTTTTTTCGTCAAATGTATAAAAGTAATATATTTTCACACTTTCTGCTTGCTTATTTGTTTGTTTCTTACCAAATCGATAAGCGCGATATACATTACCCCTTTCTTTCTTTCTTTCTTTCTTTCTTTCTTTCTTTCTTTTCAGCTCGATAAAGAAATCGATGTACTGCTTTAATTCTCCTCCTCTCTAATATTTTAGCAGCTCCTTAAGTAATCGATCATATCATTCCATAACCATCGATATGCCTCCCTTTTATCTCAAATCGATAAAATAAATAGATCGATTTTAGATTTGCCTATGTGCGCAGACATCATTTTATAAGGAAAATATGAGGTTGATTCAAATCTTCACACTTTATCCTTTGCATAATATTAGAGAAATCTTTGAAGTGTTTTCAATTTCTCACTCATATCTGTTAAAATGAGATGTCAGTATTATTTTTCTTTTCTGTGTCAATCAGACGAAAGTTTATCCATCGCAACCTTTATGTTTCGGCTTTAAATAACCCACAAAAGGTCGATACGCCGTAAAATAAAGTAAACCAATCAATTTTTGTTTAGAACGAAATTTTTCTGTTTCTTATTACTTTGTTTAGTTTTTGGAAGGCATCTTTCCTTGATCTAATGTACTTTCGGATTTAGGTATCACATTTTTCATCGTCTTTTAAAAACTTCAGATACTTAAATTTCGGTAGCTGCTTGATTCGGATGTCTTAAATTCGAAACTCACAACGTTCACTGCTTCTCTTGCTGACAACCATGCAATCTGTTTTAATGCTAATGGCAAGTGTAATGTTAATATTAGCCATTTCCTTATAAGGAAACATTTGGCGTTCATTGACGTAGTAGCCAGTGATACTTTCTGTTGAAAATTATGAAACAGTTTTTCTTTTTCAGTAAAATAATTTTCTCATGCCTAGTAACTGTTTTCGCATATGCCAGTATTAATAGAGGTTTCCTTCCTAGCCTTTTGTTGGAAGTAGTGTGGAACGTCAGTATAAAGATCGCGTCATTATCGTCTCTTAGAGTTACAGCAGCAATCCATTTTGGCTGTTGCTGTTTTTTCAAAGTTCTCAAGTGATGCCGTTCCTGCCCTTTGGTACAGTTCTTTATTTGCGATTCTGTAGCGCCAGTCCACGATATTCGAAGAAGAATTGTTCTTGCTAAGACTATAGACTTCATCCTTACCTCGATGCCATTTTTGGTCATTGATCTTGTCGCTGCCGACACTTGAGTTTGAACATAGATGGTCAGTGAGCAAACATAGGCGACCCCATTATTGAATTAAGCGGATCACGTTACCATGGAGGAAACGCATATATAGGAAGGTGCGTCTGCAATTCTGGTCTATCCTCTATACTATACGGATCACTATCTCTAGTCTATCCTCTATACTAAACGGATCGTTATTTCTAGTCTGTCCTCTATTACTATTTTTTGTGGCTTTGTTAGGGCCCAAAATAAAGACACAAAGACAAGAATTGAGTTCAACAAATATATTACCAGAAACAGTTATACAAACATATACAAACAAGAATGTTACAGCAAGAATGTTCGGTCCGACTATCAGAGCTGACTGCTGGAAACTTCACTCTCCAAAAGGCAGTACCTGCTCCTATTTATAGCTGGGAGAGTCCATACGTGCGTGGGTAAATTACCAATACACTATTCGGATCACCATTTCTACTCTATCCTCTATTACTATACGGAACGCTATTCTCTATACTATTCACTATGTTATTTTCTCTATTCGGATCACTGTTTAGTGGTTACTATTCGAGCGAGTATTATCGAGCAAGTGCTATTAATGCGAGTGATATTTGAAGGCGTTTGACACCAGTATTGTTCAACGGCGTTACTATAGTTGTATCTGCGATTACAAAGTCTGTACTACAACGAGCATTACGTCAAACGAGTGTTCGTTGACATCACAAAAGATCCGAGGAAGGGGTTGTTTAGAGGTGTTAGTTAAGATATTTTGGTAACCATGTATGGCATCCAAATGAAAGTCCCAATCTGCCGAGGCTATTTAAATACTTAACTCGTGTTCGTTGGTTAACTTTTCGCTTGGTTATTCCTTTCATTCTGTTTTCCTTTGTTACCTTCTCTAAGAGTATGTTTTTGTAGTTCTATATTTGACTCCGTCATCAGCAGTGTATTATCTGCGTATCTTGTGTTGTTATGATTATGACCCGCTGATATTAAACCCTGTTACGTTTTCCACTTCGTTTAGGATCGTCTGGTTGTTTTTGTTGTTTTTGTTGTTGTTGTTTTTTTTTTTTTTGACAAATGAGGTAATCGCTGACTCTGTGTTTAATTCTTATTCAAGCTTTTTTTAAACTATCGATTTGAGAAAGCGGTTGTCTACAGCTGAGACATTAGATATTTCTAAACGAATTTGGCGCCATACCTGACATCCATTTTTTTTTTGTTTTTTAAGCATTTTACCCGAAGAAAGGCAGACGTGTCACTAGCAAGTAGGAATTTACGGAGAGTGAAAGTGAGAGGAAAAAGTGGGGGTGTAGGGGGGGATTGAGGAAAGGAAAAAAGGACAGGGATCAAGGCAACAGAAGATGGCGATTGACGTTGCATTTAAGTTTTTGAAGATTGTAGTTATCAGGGAAGCAAGAAAGAGGAAAGGTGTTCCAATGTTAGGCAGTAGGAGTAAAAAAAGACTGTTGGAGTAAAAGTGGCGGTTATATTTCAACAGTAAGAGATGACAGTCTTGTAGCACGCTTAAACTGATGCAGTCGGGGCATCGGGGGGGGAGCCCGCCAGATTACTAGACATGAAAATATTTGTAGAAAAGACAGAGGGAAGCCACATCACGTCTGTGAGAACGTGTCTGAAGTCGAGAAGCCAATTCAGGACCGATTACATTGCAGATCCTTCCGTATGAATGTTTCGATCAGACGAGGCATTCTAAAGGTATACGAGACAAAGGGAGAGAGAGGGAGGGAGAGAGGGAGAGATTAAGAAGACAGAGAGAAAAGAGAGAGAGAAAGAGAGATATAGAAAGAAAGAGAGGGAGAAAAGTAAGAGCGAGAGAGAGACAAAGACAGATGAGTGAGAAAGGAGGAGGCAGAGAGAAAGGGGGAGACAGAGAGTAAGGGAGTGAAGCAAAAGTGAGAGAGAAGAGAGAGAGAAAGAGGGAGACAAAGAGAAGAGAGGGGCAAGGAGAAAGGTAGAGGAAGAAAAGAGAGTGATAGAAAGAGAGAAGGGGGAAAAAGGAGTAAGCGAGGGGGAGAAAAGAGGAAGAGAGAAAACGAGAGAGAGAAGAGAGAGACCGAGACAAAAAGAGAGGAAGAAAAGAGAGAAAGATGGACACAGAGAGTAAGAGAGAGAGAGAGAGAGAGAGAGAGAGAGAGAGAGAGAGGAGAGAGAGAGAGAGAGAGAGAGAGAGAGAGAGTGAGAGAGGAAATAGAAAGAGGACAAGAAGAAAGAGGTAGACAGAAAATAACAGAACAGTGACAGAGAGAGAAAGAGTGAGGGAGCAGAGAGAAAGAATGAAAGGCGGAGAGAAAGAGAGAGAGAGAGAGAGGGAGAATAAAGAAAGGGAGAAGAGAGAGCGAAAGAAATAGACAGAGAGAAAATGAGGGGGGGTAAAAGATAAAGAGCGAAAAAGAGGGAGGGGTAAAAGAGAGGAGAAGAAGAGAGAGAAAGAAGGACATAAATGAAAGAGAGGAAAGACATGACATTTATTACATTTTTTTTTCAGTTATATGCCATGCGTAATATACGCTTAAGCGATCATGTATCTTTCGACTGCATGACTGACGAGGCAGATTTTTTTTCTCTGCAGTAGGTTACCATTTCTTTCTGCGGTAGACCAGTTGCCATCTAAGGCTATAGAACCCGGTATGTCCTGCTATTTACCCATAGCTGAGGATTCCGACCTTTCCCAAGGGTATTAACCCATAACTGAATGTAATATATTCGACTAGAATTCGAACTCGGCTCTCCGATTAATCAACCCGAGTCGCTATCCATTACGCCACAGTGTCTCCTATTAGCGTTTTGTACATTTACTATTGGTAACTTGTTTTCAAAAAGTGGTGTTTTATGTCTCAGCGACAATTTCGTTTTGTTATGTTGAAAGCGGAGATGTAATTGAAAATAAAAAGCAAAAGAAACAAGATAATGGCTACACGAGGTGTTTGGCAGCGAACTGTTTGCAAATAAGTTAAAACCGAAAACTTCAATATTGCACCTGTTGCGTTCATGGGAGATAATATCAGCCACGAGGAGTGAAAGTTAAGAACAAGAAATAGAAAACTATCTCTAGAAATAAGTAAAAGTGTACTGAACTGCTATGCAATATCTAGTCCATCAAAATGAAACGCTCTTCTGAATAACCTTTTCACAGATGAAGATGAGAGATGAAAGAACTGAGATGTCGTTCCCTTGTTGAATGTCGTAAGAACCAAGGAGTTCTGAACTAATATCTAATAATTTCTATCTATAAAAAGCAGGGTGTGTGTGTGTGTGTGTGTGTGTGTAACGAATGCACGGCAGCAATTTTCGACCAAAATTTACATGCACATGCTCCAAGTTAGCGGGAAGGCCAAGACCGACTTGGCATTTCCAAACTCCCATCGATAGTGGAAATAATCGATTTTTTTTCATGCTTCTACGGCAGTTTTCATGTAGTTTGCGGCCATTTTCTACTGACCAGAGTGAGAGCCTATAGCTGGCTGCCACGAATAGTCGGGAAGATTCTATTGGCCAGCGTGAGAGCCAACAGCTGACTGACACAAATGTTAACTAGCATGCAAAAAAAAAAAAAAAATCGATAGCTGCATTCGTCACAAGTGGGAAAAATTTAAATCTGCATGGCACTTTACTCCAATTGGCTCATTCGCTTGCTTAAACTCAACGTTGATTCTGATTCCGCAGAACTGGGTTGGATGTGAAAAAGTATTTGTTGTTAACATTCTTTTTTCATTCGGTTTTTCCAGTGACGAGTCCTTTTTTTGAAGCTGATCGTTTTGTGTTCATTTTGTTTAGTTCTTTTTTCGTAACAGATTTAATGTTTAGTATAGAGCTTAGAAAAAATTTGCAGTGTGAGATAGGCAAGAAGTAAGGCATGTAGCAACATCAGCACGGCAAAGGGCATTCCTTTAAAGGCAAGGAAGGTCAAAAATATTTTAAGTCAAGTGATAGCGATTGCTGTATGAGTCGTACGATTTTTGAATCAAGCACGGGCAACGCTGGGCCATGCTGCTAGTCCCTTTATAATGCATGTAAATGCTGGAAATTTCCTTTCAGATGATAAACAAACTTGAAAGGAAAGAGATGTGGTTCTTGTGTCGAATGTCTTTAGAAACTGAAAGTAATTATTTTTGTACTCATTTCATCTCAAGCGAGGCAATAAAGCCACTAAGACGCAGGGGTAGGTACTGAGTTTGAAAAAATGCGAGAAAAAGAAAATCGGATTAACGCTACTGATATTCAAACACTACAAAGACTACGTCCGCAAACAGGTAGACATGAAAAAAAAAATTAACAGCACTTAAAAACAACCCCGTTGAAGTGTGCAAGAGTGTTTGGGTCATTGTTCAATATGGATTAGGGAGTGAAAAATTTGCACTCCCTAATTCTAACCAAATGGTAAAATGCAAGAATGTTGGAAAAACTAAATAAAACTCAATTTTCAGAACAATAGATTAAATACAAATTTGACGGGCGCGAACGCCATCATATATAGATATCCACTAAAAACAGCAGATCATCTGCTCAGATATGGGTATTCACTAAAACTAACTCCGTGAGAGTTTATCAAGCAACTGTGATATTTTTTTCTATAGTTATGCATTAAAAGCCAAAAAGAAAGGAGATGCCAGTGGTCATGAATTAAAGCCAGTATAAGAATTTACAGATCAGCCCAGAAAGTGTAACTGGCGAACTGTGTTCAAACTCTGGGTTAGTCTGTTGTTATGGGTCGGGATTAATAGCGTCAGCATCACTGACCAAGTTTTTGCGTCGGCAGTTTTGTCTAGTTGAATATTTTCTGACGTTATTGACAGAAAGCTCAAATGAAATGCGTTCTTTTTTTTTAAAATTTTTTACAGGTCCTCCCCATCGTCCCTCTGGAGTATTCGCCTTGCTGAACACAATTACCAGCACTTCACTGAAATTGATTTGGTCCCCAGCTAATGATGGCGGCTCTCCTGTTCAGTACTATATTGTAGAAGGGAGTCATACACACGATAAAACATGGAATGTGCTGGCAGACTGTAAGTTTTCTTAAACTGAAATTGTTTGAAAAAAACAAAACAAAACAAAACAAAAAAACAACAACAAACAAACACCAGTGTAGGCTTTTCGTTATTAGAGATGTTTGTACTAATCATTTTTTGTGTCTCTTCAAGACTACATCCGATAAACAAACCAATGGTTATACTAACCATCGCTCGAAAACAGCCATGCAAAATATAGCGTAAGCTTATTGCCGTGAGCCTCTGTCTAGGGTTAGGCATTTTATTTTCTGTTTATAGGTTATGTTAATAGGTGCAATACAAAATATATAAAATTATTGTCGCACTTAGTCAATTTCATGCTATGTTGTCGTTGTTTACGTTAAGAGGCTTTCGTGAGCAGATAAGATCGATCGAGAAAAATAGTCGGAGATTGTGCGTTTAAAAACATTAATTTAGACTTTGCAAAGCAGACGCTTCTCTATAGCTAAGTGGTATAGCACGTCAGATCAAATGACGGTTCCCTTCAAATGTCGATTCCTGTTGGAGAACACATATTTTCTAAGAAATTTATCGAACATTCGCACCGGTAGATGCAATTAATACTGTTTATTTAAAAAACAGTGCATTTACTTAAGTAATTTGTAGGAATTAAACTAACTTATAAACAAAGAATATATATATATATATATATATATATATATATATATATATATATATATATATCCTGTATATATATATGACCTTTTATCTTTTATCAAAGTAATTGGTATCAAATTACTAAAAATGAAACAATTCTATGTAATGCATTTCGTCCTTCAAATGGGCTTAATCAGACTAAAATTACGTTCTGACAACAACTCGAATAGAAGGATCTTATTATTCAAGGAATTGATAGTAAGTTAATGTCTCATTAATTCCTGTTATCGAAGTGATTTCTCCATTAATCAGATTAACATAGCTATTTACTTCTTTGTATAAATTGCTTTTATATATATATATATATATATATATATATATATATATATATATTGAAATGGACAAAGTCCGACAATAATTTTAAGACATTTTTATGTTTATACATTCTTTTTATAGATGCAAATATTTAAGTAAATGCTCTGTTTTATAATAAACAGTATTAAACAACATTAAACGACCTGAATGTCCGAGAAAATGTTCACAGAAAATATTTGTCCTCCGACAGGATTCGAACCTGTATCATAGCTTGACGTGCCTTTGCCGATTTGGCCACAGAGGCGCGTTCGGTTAGCAAGGTCGAATATATATATTTCGTAGAAAATATACGTTCTCCGTGTTTGGACTTTGCTAACCGGCAAGTTCTCTGTGGCTCAATGGTTAACAGCACGTCAAGCTATATGACGGTTTCCTCATGAGATACAGGTTCGATTCTTGCCGGAGAACGCATATTATCTGCGAAATTTTCTCGAACTTTCAGGCCGCTAAATGTAATTGATAACGTTTAATTAAAAACAGAATATTTACTCAAATAAGTTGTACCAATAAAAAACGTAACGTATAAACAGTATATATATATATATATATATATATATATATATATATATATATATATATAATTTAGACGTATTATGTCTATTTTAATTTTCACCCTTTCAAGTCCACGAATTAACTTCTTGGTGGCCGTAAAAAATTGATTAAGAAAAATTGAAAATTTTTCTTTCAAATAATTTTTATTTTCTCAAGTAGTTTCAATCTCATCTGAGGCCATCTTCAGGAGGTTAAAATATCTGTGGATTTTTATACAGTGGCTCCATAAATTCAAAATATTTTTTTCGCTGTTCGTTTACAGCGTTCCAAAATTCGAATATGCAAAGGAGAGTAACTTTTATACTTTTAATATCTAAAAAAGGGAAAAAGTTTTTTAATTTTTTGTCATAATATTTTAATTTAGTATTTTATATAAAACTTTGCTGCTACAAACATTTAAGAACTTTGTTGTTATACTAATAGTTGACTATTTATTTTTGGTCGCAATTCTCTTATATTGGTTTCCAGGCTTTTAAGTCTTTGCTTATTATTATTTTGATGAAGGACTAATGTATTTGAAAAAAAAAAATGTCGGAATTTTTCTTAATCAATTCTTTACAGCCACCGAGAAATAAATTCGGGGACTTGAAAGGATTAAATCTAAAATAAATAGACATAATACGTTTAAATTATTTAACCAAACCTGCTTGAATGAAAATATGCTACCTAAATATACATGCCCAGGTTACTAATTTAGTATGTTTTTATAGTTTAGATGTGCTAAGTAGAATCGTAAAACCGGAACTAGTAGGACTATATAGGGATGATGGACTAATCGTCATCGCCAATAGTAATGGTCCGCTAACAGCGAAGTTCCAAAAGAAAATTATTAGGGCCTTTAAATTTCTAGGGTTTAAGATTGCGATTTCCTCTAACCTTA